GTGGTTCCAGAAAAACAAAAATGTGTGCACAATGAGAGATGGGTTGCCTTGGGTGGGGGAAAAGTTATATATACCAACAACCCAAAGAGTCACATTCATGCAGCTTTGCCATGACACAAAATCAGCAGGGCATTTTGGATTTGTAAAAACATTACACTTAATTAAAAGGCAATTTTGGTGGCCATCCATAAAAAAGGACATAGAAAGCTACGTGGCCAGCTGCCCAAAGTGTGCAACTGCAAAGTGGTTGCAAGAGAAATTGCCCGGACTATTACAAACAGTGGCAAATCCCTCAGCCCCCTGGAGGGAAATAGCCATGGATTTATAGTGGAATTGCCAGAAAGCAATGGGAATACTGTTGTCTGGACAGTCACGGACTTGTTTTCCAAACAGGTGCACTTTATCCCTTGCCAAAAGATTCCCACCGCAAAAGCCTTAGAGAAACTTTTCATCCAGCACATTTACAGATTGCATGGGGCACCCCAACGCATCATCTCTAATAGGGGAGTGCAATTTACGTCTGCATTTTGGAAGGAATTTTTATCCCTCTTAGGGACCACTCAGGGACTGACATCTAGCCATCATCCACAAGGAAATGGGCAGTCTGAAAAAATGAACTCAGTACTTGAGCAATATTTAAGATGTTTTATTGATTATCAGCAGAAAACGTGGATGGACCTACTCCCTTTTGCAGAAGTTGCTTACAATAATGCAGTCCACTCCAGCACAGGTTATACCCCTTTTCAAATAGCCACCAGTCAAAGTTTCAACCCCATGCCAGAATTAACCCCAAACAAACCGGTGATCCCATCACTGAAAGAATGGATGGAAAAATTATAAAACACCTGGCCAATAATTAGAAAAGCACTAGATGAAGCTAGGCAGGCATACAAAGCACAAGCCGATAAAAAAAGGGTTGAGCCTACACCATTCATTATAGGAGAAATGGTGTACTTATCTACAAAATACCTAAAATCCCAACAACCCTGTAAAAAACTTGGACCAAAATATATAGGGCCTTTTCCAATTAAAAGACTCATAAACCCAGTAACAGTAGAATTAGAATTACCCAAAAATATTTGGCAAATACACCCAATTTTTCACTGCAGTTTGCTGAAAAGAGAACATCAGTCACCTTTACTACCAAAATCCCCCCACCTCCAATCATGGTGGAAGGCAAACAACACTTCAAGATAAAGGAAATCCTAGATTCTAGGAGATATCATGGAGCAACTCAGTACCTGGAAACACCTTCCTGCCTCACAAAACGAGTGGGTCCATAAATGTCATGTCAGAGCCCCGAAGCTATTAAAGAAGTTTCACACAAAGTATTCTAACAAGCCTGACTAATTTTTATACCTGTTTTGTTTTCTTTCAGGTGGATCTATCTTATTTTTAAGGGGGCAGGATGTCAGAATCCAATTATAATTCATCTCTAGTTATCGACTATGGAAAACCCCATTTCTGCCCTCTCTGGATTCTGTCATACGATGAAGGGGGAGGGAGATGAGCAGAGGGGTTTTATGGCTCTCACTTTCTCCATTTCAACTTCAAAGGGACTGAATGTGGATATCACCAAAAGGACTAACCATAACAATGGGGCTATTACCTTTCATGTAATCCTCTCTGAAGTCTCCTTTCCCAGCAGTGAGGAAAAGGGGGTGGGAATGTAATGCCTGGGACTGTCGCTGGAAGAAGGGGGTGATGGGGTGGGGCTACTGGGGGACCCCTTAAAACCTTGAATGGGAGAGCTTGGACCCCAAGTCCTGTCTAGAACACCTACAACCACTTTCTCTTAATAAATGATTCCTGTTGGAAGAACTATTCCAAGAGTTTTATCTTCTTAAGATGCAAAGTGGGGTGGGTCCTTACAGTTCTGCAGATAACCTGGACTCCTACCATAAAAGGTAACAACCAAAACCTTGAATTGCACCCAATTCCCCTTACGTGAGCTGCAAACAATGCAGCTCACGTAAGGGGCATTGTCTTACCTGAACGCCTTTTCTCAGCATGATGATGGAGAATCCACTGATGGGTTTACTTCATCTTGCTGTCCAATAGACTAAGACTGACAAATTGCCACGCCTCCTGCTGGAGTATTATTCCCCAGTTACAACGAAGGCGAAGCAGCAGATTGTAGTCCGACGCGTTGGTTCCAGATACCCTGAACACAGGTCCT